GCAGCCCAGTGCCAGCAAGACCTGTTCGGCCTAGGCGCGACCCGACCAGGCCCAGTGAGCCCAGTGCAGCCTAGACGCAACTAGACTCAGCCCAGCGAGCCCAGACCCAGTCCGGCCAGAACCAGTCAAGCTCGGTCCAGAAGTCTCGATTTCGCCCAACCGCAAGTTTCGAGCAGTCCGATTCACCTACAAAAGGTTCGAGACAATCTGACGAGCCCGAAAAGCAACCGGAACGCAATGATGAGACTAAGTCCGACTACCCAACGGACTCTACGGTGTAGATGATCACCTATAAAGGAAATCAAAAACGTCTCAGAGTCGACAAAACTTTTAAACCGTAAGTCCTAATTTATTAACAAGAATAAACTATCAAATTACGTATACTTACAATTACATTTTACATACTGGTATCGAATCCATGTTCATTCTTCTTTGGTGAGACAGCCTTCTCAGAAAATTTGCCTTCAACCAAGACAACTTTATCTTTTGCCCTCATCTCCAAGCCCATGTCATCACTCTCACCTTTTCTTTCTCGGGTATGGGAGATGGTGAATTGATCGTGTCTGCAAAAGAAAACAGAAAAATTATATAATTCAACAATATGTTGCATTTGTTTTAAAATATATTTTTATATAAAAAAATATTACAATAACTTGTTCTATTTATTTTTTTAATACTCGAGTAATAACATTAATATGATGCATCTATTTAGTAAAAATACCTTCAACACCATCTACTGTTCGAGCGGTCTCCGTATCCTGCTGATTATTCTCCAGATCATCCTCTTCATCAACATTTGTCCCGTCATAAGTAGCACAGGTAGATGGAGTATCTTTTGGTTGAAAAACTAAATCTTTTATTCGCTCAAAAAAATTGTCCATTTTCATTTTTATTCGCTCAGAAAACTTGTCCATCTTCATTTCCATTCGCTCAGAAAATAATCTCATCTCATCCTTCACAACCTCCCTGACTATAGCTGAAATCTTCTCAGCACCAAAAACTTGCAGTTGTGGTGGATCAGACTGAGATGCATCATTTTTTTTTTTTCTTCTTCTTCTTCTTCTTCTTCTTCTTCTTCTTCTTCTTCTTCTTCTTCTTCTTCTTCTTCTTCCTCTTCTTCTTCTTCTTCTTCTTCTTCTTCTTCTTCTTCTTCTTCTTCTTCTTCTTCTTCTTCTTCCTCTTCTTCTTCTTCTTCTTCTTCTTCTTCTTCTTCTTCTTCTTCTTCTTCTTCTTCTTCTTCTTCCTCTTCTTCTTCTTCTTCTTCTTCTTCTTCTTCTTCTTCTTCTTCTTCTTCTTCTTCTTCTTCTTCCTCTTCTTCTTCTTCTTCTTCTTCTTCTTCTTCTTCTTCTTCTTCTTCTTCTTCTTCTTCTTCTTCCTCTTCTTCTTCTTCTTCTTCTTCTTCTTCTTCTTCTTCTTCTTCTTCTTCTTCTTCTTCTTCTTCCTCTTCTTCTTCTTCTTCTTCCTCCTCCTCATCTTCAGGGACAATTTCTTCTTCTTCTGCTATACGGAATTTCTTCAAGTATAAAGTTTGAACTTCATGCCTTGAAGGTTGTAACGTTCGTCGAACTTCAACCTGATTATAGTATAATTAGTTTTTTCAAAACTATAAGAATAAATAAGATGAATTATCCATAACAAAAATTACCTCCGACGTGTTGAAAAACACACTAAGTTGCTCGCTTCGCAACTGTTTTTCCATTTTCCAAGACAAAATTCTCAGAAATCTGCCACTCCCACAAGTTTGAACAAATTTTCTTCCAAGCTCAGGCAGTGCCTCGAATGCCCAAACCTACTTAGCAAACAACCAAAAAAAAAAATTAAGAACACAACTAACATAAATAAATAAAAAAGAGCATAAATATATATTTATATGAAAAATACCATGATAGTTAGGGGAAAACCATGCAGAGAATACTTCATCTCTATAAATTTTTTTATTATCGAAACTCTTCCGCTTGAAAAATTTTACGGTATACTCGTAAAACAAGTTCCCCCAAGGATAGCTATTGAACTCCTCCAAATTTTCAACCAGATGAAACCATTTTTCATCCACAAGAGTCCGACACTTGTTAGACAAAACCACATGCTCAAGGACCGTGATAAGCCCCAATTTGTATATCAAATCTGCATCTTCCTTCTTCTTTACCAAATCATCAAATTTATTGAGTAAATCTTTCTTTGTTAGCTTCCCTCGCTTCCCTTTGAATAAATGCAAAAGAGAACTACTTCTTTGCGGGACCTCGTACGAAGCCACATCATGCACAATCTTCAATCCGCTTACAAGAGAAAATTCTTGTAACCCGAATCTAGCTTCCTTTTCTCCAAATTTGAACCACACAACGTATTTTTCGTTCTCGGATGATTTCAAGGTCCTTTGAAGAAGGTGGTGGATTATTTGAGACGCCAATTTCAAATCGGGAATGTGCACTAGTGGCCGGAAGCATGATTCCACAAATAGAGCTTTATGTGCAACATCTAGATTATTAAATACATGATCGGCAACCTTGAGGTCGCACCTATTGGTCACGACTCCTGAGCATGTCGAAGGTATATCGAACGCTAACTCCATTTTCGTTCCTAAAAGAAGAGAAGAAAGACAACTCATTTAAAGAAAACTCATAAGAAAGACAACTCATTTTATTTATATTAATACAAATAAAATTTTTTATACCTATATTTATGTCTTGTTATAGGAAGAAAAATAGTTTTACTTATTTTGTTCAATATATATTACTCAACTACGTATTTAAAATATCGAATACAACTATAACGGTTCTACCTTCGTTATGAGCATTTTGAGACTATAACGAGTTTAAAATATCGTTCTAATGTCATATATAACGAAGATAGAATCGTTAACACCTCATTCCATCAAAATAACCATAACGAGAGTACATTAGTTATGGTTATATTTCCATCCCAGTCGATTAAATACACCTATACCTTCGCTATAGTTACATTTAAGTGATTTTTAATGGTTCCAAGTATACAACAACGAGCATAGCAAGTATTTTATCAAACACATAGAGTGCACAAATTACTATCTTACTTCATTAACTCAAAATCCTACAAGCATTTCATCAAACACATAGAGTGCACAAATTATCATCTTCAATTCCATCAAAACTAGCAAAATAAGATGAATTCACATAGAACAATCAAACTTGCTCCACCAATATCAAAGGACCAAACAAAGAACAAATTGACAAAAATCAAAAAAATTCGTACCGGATTGACGAGAGAGAGTTCCATAGTGATTGTCCACAAAAAATTGCTTAAGAAAACGCAGAGAGAAAAAGAGCGAGAGAGAGCGCGAGAGAGAAAGGCGAGAGAGAGATTGGAAAGGAAGGAAGAAGGTGGAAATTGTATTATTTTGTGTTGAGGGTATATGTGTAAATGTCTATTTAATATAATTATTTGTTAAATTTTATTTGTAAAATTTGAGTCAATTTGAGTCAAAGGTCATTTAAACAAAATCTATATATATCTAAAAAGGTTGATGTTGTTATGAAATAATAAAATAATGTATGTGAATGACTATTTTGCCCTCGATGTATTTGTATTATTACAAATTGTGTCATCAGGAGTTTCCTATAAATAGGAGCTTCAGTTATAATGAAAAACACACCTAAGAGAATACATTTTCTCTATTCTCTCTCTTTCTCTCTAGTTTTATAACACGTTATCAGCACGAGTCTCTACCCTCTAGAGCTCGATTTGTAATATGTCGAGAGTATGCTCTACAGTTGCGTCTATAAGATGATCTTCTGTATCAGAAATCGAAATATTACAAATTTTCTTCTTCATCAAACAATACTTCATATCAATACTTCATATCAGTTGTATTTCCCGGTCATAGAAACATAAAAACAAAAAGAAAAGGAAAGAAAATGATACACACAGAGAGAAAAATTGATTAAACTCTTCTTGTATCATTAATGATCATCGTGTCGCTACTGAGAAACCCAAAAATAAAAGGAAAATCGTGATGACGTAGTTGCCCGCTCTCATGTCTATCGAGCCACCACCAGATTTTAGTTCTTCCGACGCCATGCTGGTGCTGTTTACAAGGAGCCGCCGAACACATGTGTGTGACATGGAGATTTGTGGAGGGAGTGATGCTGTTGTGGTAAATAAATTCAATCTTCTTGGTTGCTTTCTATTTGGTAGCTTAATATGAGGAAAGAATATGCTTACAAAATCTGCATAGTTACATATTTATTGAAAAGGGAATAGAAAATAGAAGAAGAACCGAAGAAGAAGGCTAAAAAGACAGGCAAAAGGTTCATTGCATCTGAATAAAATAAATATTGAACACAATAAAGATGCCAACTAATATAGCATTGATTGTGTCGGCAAGTGCAACACAAATAAAATAAATACATGCACTATGACAAATTGAAACAAATACATGTACTTTTGATAGTGTCAGCAATAATATTTTAGTGTGTTCATGATTCATGGGTTAATTTAATGCTTTATATGAATAATATATATTTCAATGATTTATTAAACTTTAAAAATTTAATTTTCTCAAATACAAAAGGCATACGTATCAAAATTAGTATTTTACAATTTCATAATATTTCATTTAAAATGGGCTTCGATTTAAGACCAATATTGATATGATTTATTATAATACATCAAATATATTATGGTTATGAAATGCTTGAATTTTGTTATTGTGAAGATAATTTGATACATGAGCATGTGCATATTTATAGATTGACTATTGTAATATTTGGTACATGAACATGCGAATATTATGGATTGATTCATGTGGATAGTTATATATTGACCCTTGTGATATGATAAGAAGTATGTGTGGCTACATAGACGGCCAGTGCAGCTTTGCCGCCGGCAGGTGATATTTAATGGTAACCAACGGGTCAATTATTGATCAAAAATATTATAAATAAATATGACCGATCATATGAAATGGCCAAGTGTTACAACCACCAGCAACAGATAATATTGAACGGCTAAATGGATCAGTCAGTATATTAATGATAACCGGTGATATAGAATGGCCAGGTGGCAACGCCACGTGCAACAAATGAATGGCTATACATATACATGGGTCGGCCAGTGCGGCACTGCCGCCGGCGATAGGCAGTACAAATTAAGTGATAGCCAATGAGTGAAATTAATGATACTTTGTATCTGACCATGTGAAAGTTAATTAAAGTCCTTGTCATGAACAGACATTATATGGACTAACCTGGTCCTGAAGTATCAGTTGATAAATTCTCCAAATTTATGGAGATATGAATATTGATGAGATGGTACTATAAGATTAATGTGATGTCGGAAGTTATGGCATAATGATTAAATGATATCATGGCATAGTAGTACTGGATGCTACCACTCTATGATTAAACAAAGTGATGAAATGGTACTAGAAGCTACCATTGGATGATTGAACAAAATGAGAAAGTGGTATCAAAAGCTACCAGCTATGGGTGATCACACAAAAATGATTTCTCAATATATTATATAAGTCTAAGGGGCTATATCAGATGACGAGATCACATTGGGATACGAGATCATACAGATATTACAATAAAATGCTACGGAAGAAGCACAAATGATAATGATTGTAGTCATGAACTACTCTTGAGAAAAAGCGAATTGATATTATTATTACTGAGAAACAATACAGAATGTTTAGATGATGGAAATATGGAGAAAAGGCAGTAAATACTCGATAAATACAAAATACGCAAAGATTACATAATAGAACCCATAAAAGAAGGGTGCGTCTCGAGAGTGTAAAACTCCGTAACTCTGCCACCCATGAATGATGTCTGGGTTCATATTTGAATAATATCTGGGTTCATAATGAGAGATCTAAAGGATCAAAAGCTCTTTTTCGCTTGACCCCTTGTGTTTCCACATAATCTTGAAATGTGATGCATTCTTGAAGCTTTTTGATAAGTTCAGCAGACGTGTCAGCAGATTTGAATACTTCTTTTATTAAAGGAGATATAAAGGTTTGATATACTCCTATGTCTAAAAATCCAAGCAAACCATGAAAGAAGTTATTAAAGTTCAATAGACCTATGGGCTTGTTATGAAGTTTCAATTCTGCCCATAAAGCAATGGTGAACATTGTCATTAGCGTTCCATACCCGCCTGGAAGAATGATAAAAGCATCGCTATTGTTCACCATATCCATCATACAATCATGAATGGAATGAGTTAACATCATGCTTGTGGAATCCTTGACGACCTTTGTTGAAGCTCTACGAAAAGGTATGATACTTTTCACTTCTATCTCAAAACATTGTCCAGCCATTAAGAGACTATCATAGAAAGTATTGCTAGTCCCTCCATACAGCAAATTGATTTTTTGATTCCCCATCTCTTTGACTAACTGACTTACAATATCAATAGTTTGAGAAAAACTTACCAGTTTAGAACCACCAAGAACACATATGGTTTTGATCGGTTGAAGAAAATTATTACCTTGCGAAGACTCTGAAACATCCATCTATTTATTGATAAACTGAATTTTTCAAAACTTTGTGAGGCATATGATTATGATGAACGACTCGCTATTTAAATAGAAAGTTTTACAAAGCAATAAATAATTTTACTGTTTTCTTCTGACAATTGCAACTGACAGATAAGGTGTTGGGTTTTAAATAAATCTTATCTGTCGGCAACTATAAGTTTTTCTAGAAAATTACAGTACAACATACTAAACTGTATTAGTATGATTTTTCGTACTAACAAGACCAGTTTTACAAACTTGATCTTTTGAAATAATATTTTCGAGACTATAACGTTCTTCTTCATTTTTGAACTGAATCCATAAAGACATAAGCTCACGATGCACGTATCCACTAGGATGTGTCTCAAGAATCTGTTGAATCGTTTGATCCAAAGACTCCTTACTCAATCCATCCTTTATAAACGTTATTTTATCTTCTCGATTTTTGGACACGTACCCCACAGATATACATCGTGTGTCACAAGTCCATCGAGCGCATTTGAAGCATCCACCTAACCTTTTTGCTCTTCGTTTCTTTGCATAAGTACTTTTACCCATACCTGGCATATATTTATATGAATTTGGAAACTCTCCAGACAATCGAACTTGTGCTTCGATCAACCATCTAACATCATTTGGAATACCATTATTCATTAGCATCCTCAATCTTTCTAATCGAGATCGATAAATCCTTTTTATGATATTTTTCGGAAGAAAAGAATAATATTTACGGATATTTGAGAGTGCTAAATCCATTTGTAAATTCGGACCTTTGTTAAAGAAAATTGAATGAATTACCTGATAATTTATAGAAAAATATGATGCGTATGAGATACGACTCTGGACTTAAACAGTGTTCAAAAGTATGTGTGTCAGACAGCATGATACGATTCTGGATTTAAACAGTGGTTAAAAGATATTATACCAGAGCCTACACTTAAAGTGCATTTATTGCCGCCGAAAGATGATGTGAAATGTTTGTGATAAACATGTCACAACGAATTATTGTGATCACTTTAAAAATGTTTACCGATATTATTGATGATGGTTTGCATGATGAACTTATTCTTTGTGATATGAGATGCTTGTTCCCGATTGGTGAAAAATATTACTAGCTAAATATTTGTGAATCGATATATGATCAATCTGAGTATGAAAGGGGTACGATATATATGGGCCCACTACCCCTCCATGTGTGCTACTAGATATTATGGATCCACTAGATAGCCACATGTGTGTGATTCGTAACCTGAAGTTACGAGATGATTTGATCAAAGAATGTGTATATGACATGTAACCTGAATTTACGAGATGGTTTGATCTAAGGATGACACAAGATGATTATGAAAGAATGAAAATAAGTGTCATATGAAAGTGATGAAGCTAGTAATATACTCACCTGATATGATGAACTCTTGAAAGAAAAATGTGCACACTACAAATGATATGAGTTCAAAGTCCTCCAAATATATGTTGAAATCAAGAACAAAATAGAGACTATATGAACTCCCCTCAAGAAATTCAATACTAAAAATACAGATCAGGAATCTGTTAAGATGAGGGAGAGAATCAATGATTGAAATTTGGAAATGATATATGCATCACACTGAGAGTGTGCGAATCATAAACTGTATGATACTGATGATGTGAAATATATGAAATGATATGTTGGTGGAATAATACGCTGGAAGCGTTGATATTGTGCAAATTGAAATCCCCCAAATATGTGATGAAAGGAGGCATATATAACCATTGATGGAATCAATTGATAATGAGATATCTCAACATACTACGGAAAATAATGGAGATGAATAAGTGTCGACATAAACAAATGAATAGCGCTATATAAATAATATTGTTGAAAATGAAATCAGCTGAAATGTGAATATTGGGAATTATTGGCAATAAGACCATTGAAATCAATTGATGATGAGAATGAGTTTAAGAATAGAAATTGCACAAAGCATGATATGACATATTGTCGTGAATACCATCAGTATCTACAAATCCGAAAGAATTTATATGATACTCATGCAAATTATGGAAAGATTATTATGGTGAATATATGAAATACGCATTGTACTCTTTTTCCCTTGGCTGAGGTTTTGTCCCATTGGGTTTTCCTAGCAAGGTTTTTAATGAGGCAACAAGGATGGCGTATTCACATGAATAGTGTACTCTTTTTCCTTCATTAGGATTTTGTCCCACTGGGTTTTTCCTAATAAGGTTTTAACGAGGCATATTCATGGTATGATGAGGACTACTGGATAAATGATATGATTCTTCACGATGATAAGAGATACTGGAGTAGCTGTACTCTTTTTCCTTCGATCAAGTTTTTCCCCACTGGGTTTTCTTGACAAGGTTTTAACGAGGCAGTACATGGATATTCCACTAAAGATGATCTATTTGAGGGGGAGCTATGTTGTGCTTCCACAATGCTCAGGTTTTGTCCCACTGGGTTTTCCTGAAGAAACAATGTTATGATTTCAAGATGATCAGGTTTTGTCCTACTGAGTTTTCCTGACGTGCTGAAGCAATGGTACCTGATGGCCACAAGATACACTTGAAGATGTGCAGATTAGGCTTTGTTCAAATCAGTTAAAATATGTTTAGAAAATAGTCATTCAAGGGGGAGTGTTATGAAATAATAAAATAATGTATGTGAATGACTATTTTGCCCTCGATGTATTTGTATTATTACAAATTGTGTCATCAGGAGTTTCCTATAAATAGGAGCTTCAGTTATAATGAAAAACACACCTAAGAGAATACATTTTCTCTATTCTCTCTCTTTCTCTCTAGTTTTATAACAGATGTAAAAATCCTTTTTTAGAAACCTAAAAATAATTGAGTTGACTTTTGACTTTCTATTTATGTATTCTACTTTAATTAAGCAAATGGATATTCTCCTTAATAATGGTGATATTTCCGTTAATTAAGCTTGTGAAATTGATTGTCCGTTGCAAAAATCATGGGACTTACTATCTATCCAAATACAATCCATAATTATCTTATCACTTTTGGTTAATAAAAAATATGTGAAATTGATTGTCCGTTGCAAAAATCATGGGACTTACTATCTATCCAAATACAATCCATAATTATCTTATCACTTTTGGTTAATAAAAAATTGTATAAAAGGATATTCACTACCACCATTACAACTCATCATTCACGAGTTCAGAGAAAAAAAAAAAATACAGAGAATACTTTTTTATCGCATATACAATATAATGCTTCCAGGCTGGGTACACTTGATTCCGTTAATAAAAGAAACAAACCTTTTTTTTGCGTCCGAGAGTAGTCCGCATTATTGAAACCCATCACGAACGGGAGAGCTATAACGCATTTAAACAGGTAATATTTATCTTTGTTATTTCGATTTTTTTTAATTTAGAAAATTATTTTAATTAATATTTATAAATTTGTATTGTAGGGTGCTTTCATTATATGCATAATACGTTATCCGAATATGAGAGCAACAAACTTTATATAAACTGAGAGCAGTCTAATTTTTGTAAAATATGTAGACTTTAAACGTGTTTTTATATATAAAATTGTATATACTTTTAAACATGTTAGTTGGGCAAATTTTAAGGATATATATGTGTGTGTGTGTGTATGCTAACTTTAAGTATATATATTTTTCTTATAAAAGTCTAGACAAAATTGAGGTAATTTCACATTTTTCAATAATAATATAAAGTATTTTAATACTTTCACATATGTTATATAATAGTTTACGTATTCTTAATGTCTTTTGGTTGTATCATTGTTAACACATATAATATTAGATACTTTTAAACATATTTAGATAATTTTTTTACTCATTCTTTAATATCTATGTGCATAAAAAGAGAATAAGATTTATAAGAGATTTTCCGGCAATATACTAAATGTTAGATAAAAAATCTCATTTTATTTGTTATATAATATTTCGAGTTGCATTAATTTTGATTTGTATGTGTAAAATTGATATATTAAGCGTATGAAAAGGAGCGTACGAATTACTGTAAGGATTTAAAAAATAAAAAATAAATCTAATTTTTGAATATTTTCTACTAACTTCTAAACGAATTTATGTCATAATTCGTCATAATTTTCCCACATCATGTCAATATTTATTTTATATATACTAGGTAAAAGGTAAATTATTATCTCAATATTTATTCTATATATTCTAAGTAAATCTTCTCATCTATCTTAATGGTCCGCAGGTAGTATTTCATACTTTTCTATTCATAATCAAATATATCAAAGCTTCACAAATTTTACTTCACAAAGAAAGTGTTCAATAATTTATATTTTTTTTCCTTCTTTGCAATCTATTTATTTTTGTTACATATATATATAAATTATATTATTTTTAATATTTCACACGTTAAACATTTCAGTAAAATATATCATCCCGTACATCGCACGGGCTACGCGCTAGTGTGATGTAAAAGAGGTTAGATGAGCCAATTCCCACTTGCTATTCTATTATCAACCTCTTTTCTGCCAACTAAGATGCACTGCACGTCGCTCTAGATTTTTTATTATTCCATACTTACCCCTTTGTTTGTGACAATAACATAAATGCCACACGATTTATTGTTAATCATTATTAATTAAGCTTCGCCAATCGTGATCATTTTCTGACGCTCCTCGACTATATCGCTTGATTAATCCAACTAGGGTTCTAAATTAGTTATTGTCATACCCTTTTTGCTCTTGATTTTTGTTTTATTCAGGAAGTTGGATGTCCGATCCTACTCTGTATCTGGATTTCTTATCCTCTGTAATTGTTTTCGAACTTGTCTAAGGTGATCTGGATTCTATTTTGGTAGAGGGACATGGGAAGTCCGGAGAAGAATCAGGTCAAGGGAGGGTTCTTCGCGGCCATGACATCGGGGCTGTCGATGTTCAGCAACGCCATGCATAGATCTGTCAACGGGTATGGATGTTTGAGCGTTTTAAATGTAGTATTAGGTTTCATGTAGCTTGTTGTTTCCCACTGATTTGGTGATGATTGCTAGTGCAATTGCATTTGTTAGTTTGGTTCGGACGCTGGTGTGTTTACTTGATGCGATGTTATGTGAGCTTAAATATGAAATATTTGCTGCGGTAATACATTGGATTCATGATGTACTTTGATTGATTGCCTAATTGAGAACTATTTGTGATATCGGAATTGTTAAATGTTCTTTTGCATTAAATATCTTGCATGCAAATTTCAAGAAAAATATAGAATTCGTTGGCTGTCTTTAAAACTATGCTGGGGATAAATATGAAGTTCAGCAGCCCTTCCTTTGGAAAATTTCACATATTCATATGTTTATAATGTTTTTTTTCGTCTTTTGATGTGAAATACAAATGCGAAAGAAGATTTTTCCTTTACAATACTTCAGGAAATTAAAAATTAACTGCCTTGTATTCGTTTGGTGCAATATCCAGTGATCGAGATTGATGGATTATCAAAGATGGTTTTTCTCTTGCGTTTTTAGGTTATGATGGTACAGAGTACACGTGACATGTGTACATAGATTTATTTTTGGCTTGGTTAATTTTTTATTACTTGTGAGTTCACGCCCATTAACAAGTTATAGTCAAAAAGCATGAGTTTCTGGAACAAAGTGTCAATTGAAACGTTCTATTCTAAATCTGTTCATTTGCTATGATCATGATCTTTCAAAATGCAATCATTTGGCTTTGTTGTGGCGGTCTATGATATATACTACAGAATTCTGACCCAATGCTAGAGTCTAATTCTGACACTTTCTTTGTCCGTTTGGCTATAAAACTCTAACAGCTTCCAGTTAGTTTCTGAAGGAGATTTGTGTACTATTAGTGACTGTCGAATTACGAGTTCATGTTTTTGGGTCTTTATCTTTTATACTCTTGATTTGTTATTATTTGACGTAAGAGCTGTACCTTGGATTTTAAGTACCTTTTTAGTTCACTTCATATGACATTTCTTAATGTACTTATATCAAAATATTAAGATGCTGTTGTCCGTTGACTTTGATTGTAAAATGGATTCTCTTATCTTTCTATTTTCACAAGTTTAGATGTAAATTTGAGAATATGTTATGTCTTTAGATTGCTTGGCTATGAAGGAGTGGAAGTTATAAATCCTGAAGGAGGAAAAGAAGATGCTGAAGAGGAAGCTCAGAGAGGAAGATGGAAGCAGGAGGTGGGTTTCCTTGTGGCTATTTGTATTCTTGCATTTTCTTAACATGGATTTCGATATCATTTGCCTATTTCCAAAGTGATAATTGTAGTTTTGCCAACTATGGGAAGTGATTAGGTTAAGAAGCTTCTTTTGTGCACTTCAAAAGAATGTTTGTGTATGCTTACTACTAGACTGACTATTGGGATAATTATGTTTGCTGAGTGTGGATTAAAGTCCGGGCATGTGGGAACAGTTGAGAGACTTGAAAGTGTACTGCATGTGGTTGAAGGGGATTTTAGCTGGTGTGTTTTGGACATTTATGATATGATACATGCATATATGAGTGATGAACACTGAGTTCTAAAGATGAAAACTTATCTTAGGAGATACTCACCAGCACTGGTAAGTTATGGCCACTAGCCCCAAGACCATTTACATTAAAAAAATTTGTATGTTAATCTCTGATTTTATTTTTTGTTCTTTCTTCATGCTTGATTGATGAGCTTTCAACTTGTATATATATGTGACTTTTTCTGTTGTGTGTTTACTCACTGAATGATCTTGTGCTTCCTGAAAGGAACGAGATAGTTACTGGAAAATGATGCAAAAATATATTGGTTCTGATGTCACATCAATGGTCACGCTCCCTGTCCTCATATTTGAGCCGATGACCATGCTTCAGAAAATGGCAGAGGTCTGTGCCTTTTCTCCTCGTGCTTTTGCTATATCTATGAATAATTCCTTTTTTTCCCCCTTAAATTGATGGTAATTGTCTAATTCTTATGGCAGTTGATGGAATATGCACATCTTCTTGATGAAGCAGATAAATGTGAAGATCCTTACATGCGAATGGTGTATGCATGTGAGTATTCCTGCTTTATATATTGAAGTTGCTCAATAGTTTTGGGAATGAATCTTGACCATACATATGGAATTTTGTGTATTGATACACTTTGTGTATTTAATGCAGCATCATGGGCAGTGTCGGTTTATTTTGCGTACCAGCGTACTTGGAAGCCTTTTAACCCCATTCTCGGTGAGACGTATGAAATGGTTAACCATGATGGTGTTACATTCATATCGGAGCAGGTAAATTTGTCCTATATAGCTTTGTGATATGTGATTTAGTTCACCTCCTGGGATAAAATGATTGGAATTAGTGTTTCCTTGGGGCCTGCAATGTAACTGAAATTCTGGTATAGTGAGATTCAAAATATGGTTTTCCCTGTTCATGATTTCTAGTTCATTCTAGTATGTTATTTTGTTAATTTTATTTTATTTTATTTTTTTTCCATATTTTCTAGGTTAGCCATCATCCTCCAATGAGTGCTGGTCATGCTGAAAATGAGCATTTCGCATATGATGTCACATCTAAGCTGAGAACTAAGTTTCTCGGAAACTCATTGGATGTCTATCCTGTTGGAAGGTAAATTTGTGTGCTTTTTTCATCAGTAGTCATGAAATTAATCAATGTATCTTGTAGTTATGATGGGAATGAAGACATCGTTGATTTTTTCCATAGTTCTTGATGATTTTCAATGCAGAACGCGTGTGACTCTTAAAAAAGATGGTGTTGCCTTGGATTTGGTTCCCCCTCCTACCAAAGTTAACAATCTAATATTTGGACGAACTTGGGTGGATTCTCCTGGAGAAATGGTCATGACAAATTTAACCACAGGAGACAAAGTGGTTCTCTATTTCCATCCTTGTGGTTGGTTTGGGTATGCTACATTTTACTGACCCCACTCACTTTTCCATTAATTACATTCTTGTGTAATATAATGCTTGCTATTGTAAACTAAGTCACTTGCTTTGCATGTGTAATTTTAAGTCATAGGATGATTTTATGATTGGTTTCATCAATTACTTCATTTATTCTTGCCATGAATTTTTTTGTTCTGTAACATTTTGATTCATAGATTTTATATAATTTCATGATATCTGGTGCTACCGTGTGAAAAATTTAATCCGGTTTATGGTTTTGATGTAATTCTGATGCTACTTTCATTTGGCGACCATATTGTTACATTGACAAACTAACAAACAGTTGTCTACATGAGGTGCTAGTTGTCATTCTGCATTAAGATTTAAATTCAAGAATGTGAGAAGATGTAACATCTTTATTTTAGTTGAAATATGCTCTTATAGCTCCAGCAGATGATATTCCCTTTGATGAGTAAATCTTTATTAGTCAATTACAGTTACTACTTTCAAAGACACTTGTACTTTATACCTGTGTATAGCTCATGTTCAGAGTTACGGTGATGTCTCTTTCATTGGTAAATAGTCTTTTTTTTTTCTTAAAGCCCAGCTACCTATGGTCAAATGTTTTTGGAAAAACAATTTGCACTTGCTGATCTCTTCCATTCATAATGGTCAATTGTGTGGAATAAACAATTTGCATCTACTGATGTCTATAAGGTCATATTTTGGGTGCAGGGCTAATAGATATGAGGTAGATGGATATGTCTATAATGCTGATGAGGAGCCTAAAATACTGATGACTGGAAAATGGAATGAGTGCATGAGTTATCAACCATGTGATTTGGAAGGGGAACCTCTTTCTGGAACGGAACTGAAAGAGGTAAAGTTTGTGATATTCATGCAATCTTTCCCATCAATGAAATATTTTTCTATTCAAACTGGTATAATTTTTGTTATCTTCTTAAGAGCTTTGAAATCATTACATAACTTTAAGTTGTTGAATTGATAATGGATGCGATAATATAATGTGTGATATCTGGTCATTTCTTCTTTTATGTGTAATGTAGTGGACCTCGGCCTCTCAAATTCACATTTTCATGTAAACTGAACATCTATCTTTACGAGGTCTGTCTATTAGTCTTAATTATAAATATGCTCAAGTGATGCTGAAGCTAACTTCTTTATTACAACCTAGTTTTTGTATTGAGTCATAGGTTTAGGCGAGTGTAGCCTTTGGCTGTAATATTATTTTGCACAATGCAATAGATGTGATATCTTCATTTCTCTTTATGATTAATGCCTACATGTTGCAGCTGAGACGTTTAGCCATCGCAGTTTACTAGTTCTATAACCACGGACTGACTAATGGAAAATGTTTGAGCAGGTTTGGCATGTTGCCAGTCCTCCGCCGAATGATAAATTTCAGTTCACCTACTTTGCACACAAATTGAACAGCTTTGACACTGCACCCAAGAAACTATTGCCTTCTGATTCACGCTTACGCCCTGACAGATGGGCACTTGAGAAAGGTGACCTGTCTAAGGCTGGCGCTGCAAAAAGCAGGTCTCTCTCTCTCTCTCTCTCTCTCTCATAAAGTCTTCCTACTTTGAATTGGAATATCGGTTGACTTATAGACTCTTCGAAAGTTTCATGAGACTTTTAGAGATTTATAAAATGTCCTCAATTGAATAATTGAATACGTTTGACTATTTAGAAGTCTCATAAAAATTTCAATCGAATACACCATAATTCTAATAATCTTTAAAAGTTTCAATTGAATTCACCCTCATAAGTTACACTTACATTTGACTTTTTTACTAAATTTGTTTTGTTTAACGTTGATTGAGTTTATTTTGTAACAAATATACAATATCAGTTTTAATGTTTTATCCATGACCCAAAAATGTATTTTTCAACCATACCATGACCCAAAATTGTGTACAAGCTTAGAGTCTACCCCCGTCATACTGTATATCTCCCATAGTGGCTTTTCATGTGTCTTCCCCGTCTCCCAGTATGAATTGTACCGCAATACATGTAACTATGTCCTGGCAATTTGGATCTTGTCCAAGTCGCGACTGATTTTGAATCGAAAATCAGAAAGCTATTCCTAGGTCACAGAGCGGTTAGGTGAATGTAGGAACTGCATCTGTTCCATCATTTCTATGTATTTTTGTGTGGTAGTTTTTTAATGTATCTTAGTTTTAGGATAATAGAAGTTAGAAATTTAGTTTAAGGGCATGTGCTATAAGAAAAAAAAATGGGTCTTTAGGCATATCATTTTTTCAACTTAGAGAAGATCATGAAATGAAAATCATTCTTGGTGATTGTACTCTTTTGCAATATGCCTTCAGAAAACAAGACCATGTGATAATCTGCTTGAAGGGTATCGTATTCAAGAAATGAAATGGAATGAGTTGAGCATTTGTGTGAACTTAAGATTATATGGCATCTTCTCAATGGTGCACTTAACTGAAATATTCCCTTGGGAATATTTGAGATGCTGAATGGGGAAAAAAGCCCATTACCTACTTGTCCGTGATTCGGAATCCTAGAATTTCATTTGAGGCTAACATGCATGCTTGGGGGGTTTTGATTACCAGGCAGTTGGGAGAAAGTGTTGACAGAATTTTCAGTTTTTGGTCTTGCCCATTGATAGGGTTGTCAGAAAAACCCACCGGGTCGGGTAACCCGAAAAATCGGGTCGGGTGTACCCGGTAATAGCGGGTTTCGGGTCGTGTTTGGGTTTTTTCCTTATACCCGGAGACCGGGTTGGGTCGGACACGAGTTTAACAAAAAAACCCATTACCCGATGGTGATTTTTTTTACCCGACCCGTCTTTTTACACGGCTGATTATTAGAAATAACATATATATAATAAATAATAATAAACTAGATAATAAGTTTATACGTGTATAGTTTATTCTATATATTTACATCTTTACAAATATTACAAACTATGAGTAACTAAATATTATCCAAGTAAAATTCTACCTATAAATCTTTGAAGTTGTGTCTTTACATGCGATATTAGTGTATAATATGCGATAGAACTAATAGCATACTTTATCATATATAATTTATGTGTTAAATTTAGACAACTATTTTTTTTACCAAGTGTTAGATATATCTCGCTATATGATTTCAAATAAATATTATATTGTCAATTTTAATTTAAAAGTACATCATATTACTTCACAAAAACAAAAATTAATTTCTATATGTTGAAATCGTATTATCTATATGTTGAATATATCAATTATCTATGCCCATATTTGTTTCTTTAATTTACCAATAGTTATAGGTAGTATTATTTTACTTATCATGATCTCTCTATTACAAACTATGAGTAATTAAGTATTATCCAAGTAAAATGCTATGCACAAATCTATAACGTATTACCGTTATTTCTTTGGAGTATGATCATCGGCAATTCGTGAAACGCCAAAATAGTGTATAATATGCCACAAAACTAATAGCATACTTTTTTTTTTGTTTAAAAAAAAAACTAATAGCATACTTCATCACATATAAGTTATGTGTTAAATTTATACATCTATTTCTTTTTTTACCAATTATTAGATATCTCTCATTATATCATTTCAAATAAATATTATATTGTCAATTTGAATTTAAAAGTACCTTATTACATATTTTTTAACAAACACAAAAATTAATTCCAGTCTTATATTTTATAATCATTTTTTATAATTTATTCTACATTTCAATATAATTTTATCCTAGATGAATAGCAAGTAGAACGTAATTATGAATCATAATCTAATTGAAATGTAGTATGATGCTATATATTGAATTTACCAATTATATATGCCCATAATTTGTTTATTTAATATACCAATACTTATAGGTAATATTAGTTTACGTATCATGATTTCTCTAGCTTAAAATTTGTGTATTCCCTATCTTTAAGAACTAGTTAAGAATTTCAAATATTTGTTAAAAAAATAATTCTTAAATCAACAAAAAACATAAAAAAAAGCGTACAAATAGTTTGGTATATATATTGCGACTTTTAACTTGATATGTTTTATATATTAAACAATATAAAAATGAAATTACTTATGTTACTCTATTACATATATTAAATACTATTTTATTTAATAATTTGTTTTCCCTATAATCAAACTCACTAAATACGTCTTTATTTAAAAATAAATTAAATAAAAGAATATGCATAGAAATTTAGAAATAAATTGAATAAAAGAATTACAATGCATAGAATATATACAATATATAGTGAGATATATAATCTCAAGTTAATTTGACTAGACAAAAATAAATCAAAAAATAATTTTTAAAATCTAATAGTTTAGATTTATTTGGTTTGAGATCAAAGGCACAAAATTTAACCTAACTCATTTAGCACCATTCGGCCCAAATCCTGACTAATCAGTGGTTCAGTTCACAATTCTTCAATCTTCAAAAATCACTCTGCACTCATCATAGAGTCAAAGACACAAACCCTCCTCACAACCCACCCTCATCAGTCGCCTGCAGCTCAGCTCATCTCGGCATCTACCTACCGGCCCCCGCTGACCGCCGCTCTCAGTCACGGCCGCCGCTGATTCTCGGACGCTCTGAACGGCAACGACAAGAATTGCTACGGAGGACGCTGTAACTGTAAGCCCTTTTCTTGTAATATTGTTTGATTTGGGCCCGAAAAAATAGTGAGGGTGAGGGTGAGGGCTTGAGGGTGAGGGTGAGGGTGAGGGTGAGAGTGAGAGTGAGGGTAGGGAAGTAAATGGGTCGGGTTGGGTACGGGTTTTGACATACCCGTATCTGACCCGCTAGTTAAAAAACATACTTGTACCCGGTCCGCTACCCGATTACCCATCATCGGGTTCGGGTTGGGTTTTACCCGTCGGGTAATCGGGTACTCGTCGGGTAATCAGGTTACCCGAATTAGTATTGCCGGTCAAATTAGTTCGACTTTTTTTTACCCGTTTACCCGAATCTACCCGATTACCCTACGCCAGACCCGACCCGACCATGTATATAGAAAAACGCATCCATTCGAACTATCATCATACCATCACAAATAGCAACATGATTGCATTACCAATTTACCACACATAATAATCTGGATGTGCATGAGAGGACCAACCGAAGTTGGCCTAAAACCGATAATACTGGAATAAGCAATACACTGTAGGTCCACCTAAATGAACCCAACCTAAACAGAAACAGAAAACTCCTAGGCTCCCACAGCACTAAACAATCCCAAGCACTACAAATGGGAAAAATAAAGGAAAACAGGTACATCACCTACTACTACAACAGCAAAAAAAGAGAAATAAGAGTTACAACAAGCTAGAGAAAATCAACACTCCAATCAAAACACCTTATAGTTCAAAACAGTACATAACAATAATATGTTCTAAATAAACTACTACTTGAGGCCACATTTTCAGTTTTCCACCCTCAAAATAAGCTCCTCATGTGCCAACAAATTCCTGCAAAAATAAGACTACAGAAATTGTAAATAATGCGTAAATAAAAATACAATTAATCAGTTGAGCAAAAATTTAATTTGTTTACTTCTTGCTCTTATTTCCGCCCTCAAAATAAGCTACATACCAACAAATTCCTGCAAAAAGAAAGTACAACTTGTAAATATTGCGTAAATAAAAATACACTTGAAAAATTGAGCAACAATTTAATTTGTTTACCTCTTCTTCATCTTCATCACAAGTGAAAGCAGTCGCACCATTAGCCACTCTAGGTGGTGGAAAAGAGGATGTGAGGCTCCATCTGGAAAATAATTACTAAAAAATAAAAAATAAAGTTAATTTATTTATGAAATATGAAATTACTCAATTCATAAATATCGAACAAAATATAAATCAAACCATCCATTGTTTCCTATAACCAATCTTGGGAACACATCAAAGCCTCTGAGCCTACTCCGATACTTGCTCACAATTCTACCACTCGTGCTACAGCCTCTGAAGCAACCATGAAAACAGGAATGACATAAATATCTCTAGCAATAAAACATAATGTGCTATATCTAATGCCCTCTGTTTTCCACCAAGTCGTGATATCGAAGTCATTATGCCGAGGCAACAATTTATCTGTCAAGTATCTATCGAATCCGACATATCATTTTGTCCATCGCATTGCACATTTAAATACTCTTCAATGTCCATAGGCACGATAAGGTTTGTGGAATCGGATCCCAGCATTGATTTGGTTCCTTCGACACTGCGAGAAGCCGATGATGATTGGCTCTCATTGACACCACTAAAATTATCTGGAGACTTAGACTTGTATACGTTTTCAAATTCATACAAAGCACTTCGAATCTTTTCTTTCTCAATCCAAGCATCTGCTCCAAGAAGTTTGTCGTACTAATAATCAATCATTTTAAACTTGAATCTAGGATCCAAAATGAGAGCAAGTGAGAAAATAACATGTATGTCCTCCCAATATTTGTTGAACTTTTGGATCATATTTTCGGCCATAATCACCACCTCCGGATATGCACAATCAAGCCAAGTATCCATCCGAAGTCTAAACTCACAAATACCCACAAAAATTATGTTCATAGTCGGGTACTTCGTAGAGGAAAATATATTGGTCAAACAATAGAACCAGTCCAATTTTTCACAAATCTCAAAAGCAAGCAACCAATCATGCTAGGTAGGAACAATTTTATAAGATGGATCACATTGTTTCAAGCGAGGAAACACCGACTTATACATCAATGCAGAAGTAAGCATGAAATAAGTGGAATTCCATTTAGTTTTACCGCATTTGATATGCAATTGGCGTACGGTCTCTTCAAATTTCTCCACTCTTTTCGGTGTTGTTGTCCAATAGTATACATTTTATCCAATTTTCTCAATGCTAGATTCAATTACTTTAAAACCGTCTTTCACAATCAAGTTCAAAATATGCTTACTACTATTTATTTCATGCATACTTCTGCATTGCTGTATAAGTCTGTGTTTCCTTGCTTGAAACAACGTGATCCATCTTATAAAATTGTTCCTACTGAGCATGATTGGTTTGGTTGCTTACTGTTGAGATTTGTGAAAAATTGGACTGATCCTATTGTTTGACCAATATATTTTCCTCTACGAAGTACCCGACTATGAACACAATTTTTGTGGGTATTTGTGAGCTTAGACTTCGGATGGATACTTGGCTTGATTGTGCATATCCAGAGGTGGTGATTATGGCTGAAAATATGATCCAAAAGTTCAAAAAATATTGGGAGGACATACATGTTATTTTCTCACTTGCTCTCATTTTGGATCTTAGATTCAAGTTTAAAATGATTGATTATTACTACGACAAACTTCTTGGAGCAGATGCTTGGATTGAGAAAGAAAAGATCTGAAGTGCTTTGTATGAATTTGAAAATGCATATAAGTCTAAGTCTCCAAGTCTCCAGATATAATTTTAGTGGTGTCAATGAGAGCCAATCATCATGGACTTCTCGTAGTGTCGAAGGAAACAAATCAATGGTGGGATCCGATTCCACAAACTTTATTGGACATTTAAGAGTATTTAAATGAGCAGTGTGATGGTCAAAATTTTAAGTCGGATTTCGATAGATACTTGGCGGATAAATTGTTGCCTCGGAATAATGACTTCGATATCTTGATTTGGTGGGAAACAGAGGGCATTAGATATAGCGCATTACGTTTGATTGCTAGAGATATTTATGTCATTCCTGTTTCCACGGTTGCTTCAGAGGCTGCTTTTAGCATGAGTGGTAGAATTGTGAGCAAGCATCGGAGTAGGCTCATCCCAGACACTTTGGAGACTTTGATATGTTCCCAAGATTGGTTATGGGAAACAATGGATGGTTTGATTTATATTTTGTTCGATATTTATGAATTGAGTAATTTCATAATAAATTAACTTTATTTTTTATTTTTTAATAATTCTTTTTTAGATGGAGCCTCCACATCCTCTTTTCCACCACCTAGAGTGGTTAATGGTGCGACTGCTTTCCCTTGTGATGAAGATGAAGAACAAGAGGTAAACCAATTAAATTGTTGCTCAATTTTTCGAGTGTATTTTTAGTTACGCAATAATTACAAGTAGTATACTTTCTTTCTGCAGGAATTTGTTGGCACAACAATGTAGCTTATTTTGAGGGAGGAAATAAGAGCAAGAGGTAAACAAATTAAATTTTTGCTGATTAATTGTATTTTTATTTACTTATTATTTACAATTTTTGTAGTCTTATTTTTGCTTGGCACATGAGGAGCTTATTTCGAGGGTGGAAAATTGAAAATGTGGCCTCAAGTAGTAGTTTATTTGGAACATATTATTGTTATGTACTCTTTTGAACTATAGGGTGTTTTGATTGGAGTGTTGATTTTCTCTAGTTTGTTACTGTTATTTCTCATTTTTTGCTGCTGTATTAGGTGATGTACCTGTTTTCCTTTATTCTTTCCATATGTAGTGTTTGGAGATTGTTTAGTGCTGTTGGGAGTTTGTTCAGGTTGGGTTCATTTAGGTGGGCTATAGGCAGTGTATTGCTTGTTCCGGTGTTATCGGTTTTAGGCCAACTTCGGTTGGTCCTCTCACTCACATCCAGATTATTATGTGTGTCATGCTGCTGTATTAGGTGATGTACCTGTTTTCCTTTATTGTTTTCATATGTAGTGCTGGGAGATTGTTTAGTGCTGTTGGGAGTTTGTTCAGGTTGGGTTCATTTAGGTGGGCTATAGGTAGTGTATTGCTTGTTCCGGTGTTATCCAATTTCGGTTGGTCCTCTCATTCACATCCAGATTATTATGTGTGGGCCAAACAGGTAGAAAAGGCTGAGAGGGGGCTTTTTTCACACATTTTGCTGTCCCTTTCAATATTCCAAATGATGCCATTATTGGATTAGTGTTGTTTTCCTGATCCCTGTTTGTCACTACCTTTTTTGTGTATATGATTGGGAATCAGAACTGTGAAGTCCGAAACATACAGCATTGCGTTTACACTGGGACGGTACCGTCATTAACCAATTCAAGTGTGAACGCAACGCTGTATGTTCTAACCTCGTCCTACAGCGTTGCGTTCACACTTGAATTGAATTGGTTAATTACGGTACCGTCCCTAGTGTGAATGCAACGCTGTATGTTCTAACCTCGTCCTGCTTGAATACGCTGTATGTGCAGTAGCTCGTCCTGTCACAGCGTTGCGTTCACATTTGAATTGGTTAATTACGGTACCGTCCCTAATGTGAACGCACGGATGTATGTTCACATTTTAATTGGTTAATTATACGTGTTTATTAGTATGGGCTGACATGTATGTGATGTGGGCTGTCTTGTGTTTTTTAGCTTGGAGGAGAGACAGAGAGCTGAAAAGAGAAACCGAGAAGCAAAAGGTGATCAGTTCACCCCAAAGTGGTTTGATCAAACGGAGGAAGTTGCGTCCACACCATGGGGTGACTTGGAAATATTCCGTTACAATGGGAAGTACTCAGATCATAGGTCTGCCGTTGACTCTTCAGATGCCATTGACACAAGTGATGTCCAGTCAATAGAGTTTAATCCATGGCAGTATGCTGAGCTGTCTGAGTGAGATGAGTTTTTCACTTGTTGCAGTTGACTTCCAGTTAAAAGAAAAGAAAAACGTTATGAATTGATGTAGAAATAGGTGTGTCTGTGGCTGTTTGTACTCTTAATATTTTTTTTTTCTCTCATCAAAAGTATTACAGAACTGAAGATAAGTGGTAGTTTTGACAATGGCAAGTACATGTGGCTTTACTCATGTTAATGTTGGAGAATTAGAGGCGAGTTGTGTTTTATTTCTGTCAGTAAGATTCTTTAAGTTATATAATATGCAATTGAGCCTATAACCCATGATTTTGAACCAAAAACAATTTCGCCGGGATCATTTGATTGAAACAAAAACATTTTCAGTTATCTTTTTTCTTTTTTCTTTTTCTTTATTTTTTCCCCCATATATATAAGAATCTTACGAGGGGGTGCTAATCAGTGTTCTTCGAGTTTTTTTCTTATTCTTTTTTTTTTTCAGTAAAATATTTTAGCTATTAATTGTATGTAACTAATAAGGCATTATGATTACAAATTAAATGTTAACAAATTTATTTAACAAATTTATTAATCACAGACACATGTTGCATCACGAAGGGTACATGCAAACTAAGGGAGGATTCGCTTTTGGATCCTGATTTGTACGCATACCCTTCCTTTGCACGCACACCCACTAAAAACACAGGTCTGCACCTGCTGCCACGAATTTCCCCAAAATAAGTTTGATTGGTACATATTACGAAGAACTTCAAAGAGTAGATGCATAAGGAAAAAAAAAACTTTGATTTTCACTACGGCATTTTATTCAACATTTCGCGTATTTTTTTATTAGAGAGGTTTCATAATTCTTTGTTAAATTGTCATGAAGATCCAATGGACTATGACTTTGATTAAAATAGGTAAATAAAAATTCTATGGCGGAAGAGGATGATACTGAATCTAAGAATCACTAACATCCGACATATTGTGTTTGAGATAAAATTACAGGCAATTAAATTTTAAATTCAATAAGATATGGAGGAATCTTAGAGATCATTAAAAGTAATAGGCGTCAATTTCAGAAATGGAGATTAACGACACATAAATCGATTGGAGAGTTGAAGAATTAAATATAGTATATACCATAGCTTATGCACACAAATGATATTGATTGTTGTAATTTCTGAAAGTAATAAGGGTCCACTTAAAAAATGGAGATTAACGACACATAAATGGATTGGTGAGTTGAATTAAATAAAGTACGTAGCATAGATTATGCACACAAAATGAGAGAGATGATTGTTAAAATGGTCTATGAGGAAAAAAAAAGTGCATAACATAGCTTATGGGCAAAATTACAAAAATGATACACCAAGTTGGTGTTGTCAATAAAAGAGACATTCTGTTGTCCCTCACGGAAAAGAAACATGTAGTTGACAATTTGGTCAAAAAAGATACATTAATCACCCCACCTTGATAAAAAGCTGACGTGGCAAGATTAGGTAATGACGTGACATTATAACTTTTCTTAATTTCCTACATGTTGTTTACATATAGATAAATAATAATAAAAATAAATAAATATAAAATAAAAAATCCACAAATAAATAAATAATAAAGACACATCAGCAAAATATTAAAATTAAAATAATAACANAAATACATATTAATTAAATATTAAAAAAATTATATTTCGTTAATATATATTAAAAATTATTAAAAAAATAAAAAAATATTTCGTTAAATAAAAATATATTTCGCTAATATATATTAAAAAAACATTTAGTTAATAATAATAATTATATATAATTTATTATATTAACTAATATAATACTTTACATAATATTATATTTATATAGTATATATAAATATATTAAATATAAATTTAAATCACAAAATATAAATTTATATTTAAGAAAGAATATTTTAATTTATTAAAATATATATATTTAACAATATATATTTGATATAGCCATATTATCATATACCGGTTCTAGAACTCTCTACTCGACCAGATAACAACTCAGACCGTCCACATGACGATATGTTCCCCTCGACATACTCAAATCGACTTCCGCAAAGTCGACCCTCCATAGAGCGACCGCGAAGAGGAGGCGGAAACCGTGTCAGTCGACTCTCGGAGGTCGACCTCAGTCTGTCGACTTCCAATTGTCGACATCTATATAAAAAGAACAACAAGAGTGTAGCCTCCGAGCATTCAGATACCTTAAGTTGACTCTCGAAAGTCGACTTCACTAAGTCGATTCTCTAAAGTCGACTCCCACTCGAGAAAACTAACCAAGCGTAGCCTCCGAATCCTCATATGATCATGAGTCGACCTCCTAGCTCTCGAGGCCGACTCTTTATACCTCGAAGACCAAAGACGTGATGACGACTCATCACACTTACAGCATACTTAAAGCTCTACATCCTTCAAGGGATAAAGGAGAATCTTGTGATGACTCAGCAGCAAGAGGAGACGAACCGACCGGGGCATTTTGGACCCTTTATGTAAGTCAGCCGGGGTATTTTGGGGACTTCAAGTAAGTATCTCCTCCTATATAAAGGAGGTGAAGTAACCCTAAACCCTAACTCTCATTCATTCTCTACTCTCCCTCATAGCTGCTGCGCAACCTCTCTTCATCACTCTCATACTGACTTGAGCGTCGGAGGCTCTACGCCGTAAACACCTCCGACGTTGAGGTTTTGCAGGTATTCTCGCGGTCTAGCAACGGTTCGAAGGTGATTCAAACAGATCTGAGCTCCTTACCACCGGTTCACTCCAGATCTGAGAGTAGACCCATCATATTGGCGCCGTCTGTGGGGATTTCTTAAGGGAAACAAGAGCTTTGCACCTAGCTCGGATCTGTTTCTGATGGCTGAGAAGGAAGATTTGCAGAGGAACTTGAATGAGGAGTTCAGGGGAGCTTGGACAGACATGAGACCACCACCTCTCTCTACCCCTCGACCTCCAGTGGTGCAGATGCTGGGACTACCACTATTTGGGGGACTTCCGCCGCCGGGGATGAATCTGAGTGGAGAAACACCCATTACTCCACCCGGGATAAAGGTGCAAGTGTTGACCCAAGCGGGAACAAGTCAAAACCCTAATCCAAATGTTGGAGAAAAGGAGCTAATGGAGATGTCTCGATGCGAGGGAAAGCAAATCCAGGAGGTGCCGGAGCAGACACAAACACAACCTCGTGTCGAGGAGCAGACTCTGACGATGACGAGGAGCGAGATGCAAAAGATGATTGTTGAAGCTGTGGCCACCCGAATGAAGCAAGTGGTGCAGGTCGAGCAGAATCCGCGGGTCGAGTAGAACCTTCATGTCGAGCAGAACCCGCGGGTCGAGCAACAACCTCGTGTCGAGCAGCAAGCCCAATCAAATGTGCAGCAAAACAGAAGGGTGGACGAGGAGGAATCCTCCATTCGAACTGTCAACCCACAGGCAAGGGACGAGACGTTAGAGCAGTTGCTGGCCGAGGTCTGCGACTTGCAGGCTCGAGTCGGAGGGAAGAAGAGCAGAGGGGCAAAAGAACACCCATTCTCACAGTAGATCCTGAGAGCCGACTTACCGAAAGGCTTCAAGGAGTTGAACATATGGTACAATGGCTCCACTGACCCGTCTCGACATCTGAGGAGTTTTGAGAACATGGCGGTGCTTCACCGTTATAGCGACCCGGTGCAATGTTGCGCTTTTCTGACAACTTTGACAAGGTCGGCCCAAGACTGGTTCCACTAACTACCAGCTGGATCGATTAAGGACTTTGATGGTTTCAGCACGAGTTTCCTTAATCAGTTTGCAAGTGTTAGGGTGCAGGAGAAATCCTACCTCTCGTTGATCAGCATGCAGCAGAAGAAGGGCGAGTCGCTGCGAGAATATGTGGCAAGGTTTACAAGGGCGTGTGTCGAGTGCCCGACAACAACAGAGGAAATCAAATCGGGAGGACTGATGAGGGGACTGCTAACAGGGTTGTGTAAGAATTCTTTGGCCAAGCGACCTGGTAGGAGTTTCGACGATGTATTGGGAAGGTGTGCTAAGTGCATGAATGTCGAGGAAGCGGAAGTCGACTACTTGCAAAGCATAAAGATGACCCAGAACTGAAAGTCGAGATAATAAGAAGGATAAGAAGATTCACTCGGCTGGGGAAAAGAGAGGATCACCACTATCTGACAGGGGTGAAGGACGATTTAGGGGATGGTGGCCGAATGGAGGATTCGGGACGACGTGGTGAGATGGCCGCGGACGAGAAAAGATGGACCATTGAAGCCCAAAAGTAACTTGTACTGTCGATTCCACATAGATTATTGGCACAACACTGACGATTGTCGACACCTCAAATACGAGATCGAAAGGTTGATCAAAGTCGGCCATTTAAAGGAGTTCATATACAAAGATCGCGAGAGGACGAGCAGGAGAAGAGAAAGAAGCAAAAGCCCTCGCAAGAGGGCAAAATCACCAGAGAAGGAGGAACTCCCACCGAAAAGGGGAGTAATTAACATGATTTTTGAAGGGTCGACAGATGGAGATTCCAATAGAGTGAGAAAGGCGTATGCTCGAGGCCGATATGCAAAAGTCGAGGTACAGCAGGTCGATGAGGGTGGACCAGTGATGAACTTTGGACCTGCCGATATGGGGGAAGTCGAGAGACCACACAATGATGCTCTAACGATAACCGCACAGATATCGGGGTATGAGGTGCAAAGGGTGTTTGTCGACACAAGAAGCTCAGTGAACATGATTTTCTATGAATGTCTCAAAAGAATGGAACTCGACATTGAACTCACACCTCTACACACGTCACTCTTTGGATTCAATGGATCGGAAGTCGTTCCCCTAGGAGAAACCATGCTCGTGGTCGTTTTAGGGGAAGGTGACTCAAGGAATGTGAAGATGGTGAGATTTGTAGTTGTCGACGTCGAGTCGACTTACAATGTGATCCTTGGAAGGCCGGCGCTCAATGCTTTCCAAGCAGTAGTGTCGACATACCACATGAAGCTGAAATTCCCTATTGGAGATCGAGTAGGAGAGGCTCGAGGGGACCAGAAGCTGTCGAGAACATGTTACCAAACCGCAACCAAAACTAATCAACGAGCCTAAATTAAAGAAGGAAAGAGGCCAATGTCGGGCGAGAAGAGGCCGAGAGGGAGTGATCTCGAGCCCCATGGAGTGTTAATGGAAATCCAAATCGGAGAGAGGGAGGACCAAACCACAAAAGTTGGGAGGGAGTTGGAGGATGAATTACGAAAACAATTGGTGGAGTTGCTGAAGCAATTCAGGGACATCTTTGCTTTTTCTCCTGAAGAGCTGACAGGAATCGACCCAGAAGTCATGGAACACAAACTCAATGTCGACCCCCTCAGAAAGCCGGTGAAGCAGCGACTCAGGCATCATGGAGCTGAAATCGACAAAGCAATTGAAGTCGAGGTGGATAAGTTGCTGAAAGCCAAACACATCAAAGAGATCCAATTCCCTGAGTGGATATCTAACACAGTAATGGTGAGGAAAGCACTGAACAAATGGCGTATGTGCATCGACTTTCGTGATTTGAACCTGGCATCCCCAAAAGATCATTATCCTTTGTCGAGAATCGACCAGCTAGTCGACTCCACGGCTGGTTGCGAATTGCTGAGCATGATGGACGCATCTCAAGGG